AAATGGTTTACAAGGATAATTATGAAAGCATAATTTATGTTAGTAAAATACTGAAAAAGCCAGATGCAGTGGTGCACACTTATAGTCCCAGCTACTTGGGAGGCTGAGGCAGCAGGATTACTTGAGTCCAGGAGCTGACGGCCAGCCTGGGCAACAGAGCGAGACCTCGTCTCTTAAAAAAAAAAAAAAAGTTGAAAAGAATCCGAAAACACAATAGGTAAATAGTCAAACAAACTATGGTATATCACAGAGTAAAGTGACAACCATGTAAGATTATGCCTATGTAGAAATGTTTAAATGATAGTAATGAAAGAAAGGCATAATTTATGTAAAGATATCACAGTTGGTTAAATACATATATACAACAAATAATACAGGAAAATTCATAGTTTTGTAAACTTAGACTGTGATGATTTTTTAAACTGATTACATTCTTAATTTCTAAAAGTAAGTTTGCATTCCAATCACAATTATCTCATTATTCCCAAAGCTATTGCTTTATCATTATACAGAACATCTGAGGGGTTTTGGCATTAAAATGAGAGGGAGAAAAAGAACATCTGAAAATATATTCAACTTACTGGTTTGTTTTCCTCATTTTGTAAAGAAGAAAACTGAATTTGAGGCAATGTTATCTCTTTAATTTCATCACTGTCTCTTAATCTATAAAGTCTGTTCCATAATTTAAATTCTTCTTCTGATAAGAACCAATCTTTCTTTAGTTTACTTTGCCTCATTCCTGTAAGTTGAAAAAATAATGGAAAAGAGACTTTTTAAAAATCTGCAAAGCAAAAAAACCCACAATATCCATTCAAAGTCTGTCACCCAGGTTGGAGTGCAACAGCACATTCATAACTCACTGTAACTTCAAACTCCTGGGATCAAGCAATCCTCCTGCCTCAGCCTCCACAGCAGCTGGAATATAGGTTCATGCCACCAGGCCCACCTACTTTTCTTATTTTTTACAGAGATGTAGTCTTGATATGTTGCCCAGGTTGGTCTCAAACTCCTCAGCCTTGATTCTATTTCTTTAAACTAGTATTCTCCATATAAAACCACTCAGTTTATCACTTCATGCTTCTAAATGTCTCCTAAACTTCTCTTACCCTTTGAAAGTACCCATCTGTCTAGGAGCCATCCTTTGGTAATGAATTCATTAACAGAACAGAGCCAGGTAGCTAGGCTCTCAGTCCTGGCTTCTTTTGGACTCTTTTCATTTGGTTGCCTAAGACCTGGCATGAAACAGAGTAAAATAACTCACAAATGAAAACTGGTATTATGATTCTATCATAGCAGTATTGGAAAGTTCATCTGAAGCTTGGTGTGGGTGTTGAGAGTGGGCAGGAAAGGCCAAGACTTTTAAAAAGGGTATATATCTTAAGTCATAAAAGGCGGTTGGGGGCAAAAGGAGTAAAGTGTAGGGGGAATAGACTTGTTGCTTTAAAAGAGGACACAACAGACTTTTAAAAATATGTATAGTACATTCATTGCTTTCAGCTTCTATAATCTCTAAGAATCACCAAACTGAAAAGGCTAAACAGTACAAAGCAGGAACTCTGGCTAATACAGATGAGAGCAGAAAAAACGAGAAGCTACTGAATTAAAAATCAGGAAACTGGCTGGGTACAGTGGCTGACACCTCCTCCTTGGGAGGTCTAGGAGGGAGGATCAATTAAGGCCAGGAGTTTGAGTCCATCCTGAGCAACACAGTTTGACCCCAAGTCTAAAAAAAATAAAGTTAGCTGGGCATGCTGTTGCATCCCTGTAGTCCTAGCCACACAGGAAGCTGACAGGAGGATCTCTTAAGCCCAGGAGCTGAGGCTTCAGTGAGCTAGGATCACATCTCAGGTATTCCAAAATATTGTGTAAGAAGCTTTTTAAAAATGTAAAAAAAGAAAAAAGCCGGGCACGATGGCTCACACCTGTAATCCCAGCACTTTGGGAGGCTGAAGTGGGCGGATCACAAGGTCAGGAGATTGAGACCATCCTGGCTACCATGGTGAAACCCCATCTCTACTAAAAAATACAAAAAATTAGCCAGGCGAGGTGGTGGGCACCTGTAGTCCCAGCTACTAGGGAGGCTGAGGCAGGAGAATGGCGTGAACCCGGGAGGCGGAGCTTGCAGTGGGCCAAGATCACGCCGCTGCACTCCAGCCTGGGTGACAGAGTAAGACTCCACCTAAAAAAATAAATAAATAAATAAATAAAAGGTTTCTCTGCATCTGTTTCCTCATCTGTAAAATAAGGAGATTTGAACTAAATGATCTCTCAGGCCCCTTTCAGACCTGACATCCAGAGGCTCTAAGATTTTGAAATAGGCAGGTACCCCTAGTCCCTTAAAAGAAATTCAGAGTGGCTGGGTGCAGTGGTTCATGCCTGTAATCCCAGCACTTTGGGAGGCCTGGGTGGGTGGATCACCTGAAGTCAGGAGTTTGAGACCAGCCTGGACAACATGGAGAAACCCTGTCTCTACTAAAACTGTAAAAATGAGTCAGGTGTGGTGGCACGTGCCTGTAATCTCAGCTACTTGGGAGGCTGAGGCAGGAGAATTGCTTGAACCTAGGAGGCAGAGGTTGCAGTGAGCCAAGATCACGCCACTGCACTGCAGCCTGGGCGACAGCGCAAGACTCTGTCTCAAAAAAATAAAATAAAATAAAAAATAGTCAATTCAGAGCTCTAAGCTCAGATGAATTATATACTAGTGTATATAATATATACTATATATATGCTATATATAGTATATAATATATAATGTATATAAATATATACTAGTGTAAATATATACTATGTATATACACTAGTATATAATTAGCATACATTAACAAAATACATAGTAAATACACTAGTATATATTTTATATATTAGTATAAATACACTAGTCTATTTATATACTAGTATAGAATTATAGAATAATTCCATACATAAATCACATAATCTAAGATAAATCTTTGACACTTGAAAAATCAGAGAAAAGGGGAGGAAACAAGTATAGAAAAATGAACATAAGTTAACATTGTCTCAATTTTTTAAAAGGATAGGTTCCAGATATTCACTAAAGAATTTGCCATCGACCCCAGTAACATTTTAGAAATACTTATTAAATACAAGATTAAGTAGCAATTATAAAAAATATAATGATCACTAAAAATGATTTATCCAACCTAATCAAGTTTTGATGCTTTTATTAATTTATCAAATTCAAGAAAACTCAAAAGACATGCTATGTTTTTATTTTAACCAAATAATTGGCAAAATCTTGAAAAATGACAGGTATGTTCCTATTAAGGGAATTTGTATTAGGTTTAATAGACATAGCCAAAAAAACATTGATTGACGGCTCTGAGTTAAGGGAAACATTATTAACAAATTTGAACTGAAAGCAAGTAGTAGGAGGATAAGAACCTTAAAAATGCATGGTATAGGCCGGGCGCGGTGGCTCAAGCCTGTAATCCCAGCACTTTGGGAGGCCGAGACGGGCGGATCA